ACCGAGTGGCCTTGCCCCATGAAAGAGCTTCCTTGAGCTTTCAGGGGCGATCAGATCCTGGTGCTCCTGATAGGATTTGCTTCCTGCTTGGAGACTCTTCCTAACCTCTGAAACACCCTTCCAAAGGATAGCGTGAGGATCCCAAAGCAGAGTCATTCTGCTGGCCACAGCTCAGCTTTGCAGAGAGCAAATGAAATCCAAAGCAAACCCTTGAGCATTTCATGGAAAGATTCCCGCTGGCTCCAGCAAGCTTTCATTTGGATTTTTGGCTTGCAGCCCAACACACCCAAGTTCTCCAGGTGGGCTTGGGGGTTAAGGTCACACCTTGGCTGCAGGTGGAAGCAGTCCCAGCAAGAGGCTGGGAGGGATCCCTGCTTGGCACACCAAGGAAAAGGTGACTTAGAACACGACATTGTTTTCGCCTTTGTCATGCAAATAGAGCTCAGCAGCTTGGAACAGCTGCGCATCTTCCGAAAGGCAAAAAACCGCTGGAAGCCACTCCACTGGAATATTTCACAAACCCCTACACCCTGCTCTGTGTTCCTGCATATGTGAGCATAATATCTGCTTGCCCTACATGTCGTAGGCTGCACACGTATTTTTTATTTCCTGGCAATCCTGGAAACCATTAATGACCTCAGAGCATCACAGATGGTCTTGCTCTGATTGAGAAAAAAACTCACAAAAGCAGGAAAATTTGCAACACCTGCTTAGAGCCCAGCAGTCCAGAGGGACCCAGTTGCTCTGGGGACAGTATGGGCTGGGACAAAACCTTCAGGGAGCTCCCTCTCCGGGCAGAGACTGTCCTGTGGCTTTCTGTAAATATGCCTGGCTAGTCCACGCTGAGATCTGACAATTCAGAGGCTAATTGCGGCTCCTTGCCCCTGGTGCTGTGAAGGAAGATTCATGTTGTGCTCATTCTCTCATCAAAAGGGATATTATGGCAGCAGCTACAGCTGGGAGATGGGACTGCCTCTGTTTTAGACAGCTGACAATCCAAACAGCTAAAGGGAAAAGTACCACCCCGTTTAATTGCTGGAAAATTGAGGCAGAGAGGAGTTTAAAAGGTAGGCTTAAGGTTGCATGGAAAAACCTCTGGCAGACCATGATCTGAACTCGCTGTCCTGAAAGAAACCCACATCCCATCCCAGGCTATCACTCTGACCCCCAGCATGACTCCTGCACCGCATCCGTCCTCCTCAGGGTGCCAGCAATCCCGGGGAAACAGCATTTCTGGAGAAGAACTAAAGGGTGGGGTGGGGTGAGATGAGACTGACTACGAGGGAATTGGGGATTATTATTATTATTATCATCATTGTGGTGCTTCAGACTTTTCTTTGGTCTCTCTCCATTTTCAGCTTTAAAGATGGAGGAGGAACTATGGCTATCAGCTCTGAAACTTCTCCCTGGCACTTTGACTGTTGTCCTGGCTCTGACCCCTCTTGGAAGCAGAGCTGGGAAGAGAGGAATGAGCAGCTGTGAGCAGCACAGCCCTGCAGCTTCCTGAGCTTCTCTTCCTCTCTACAATTGATACAGGATTTAGGAGGATACAGCCATCCTTGGTTCTGACTTCTGGAGCAGATGAGCCCCTTTCCACCTCATTAGAACCTTTCTTAGACAGTCAGCTCATCCAAGGAGGCATCGAAAAGCAGCCAGAGGAGCCATCAGCCCCCACATCTGACCAAGCCTCCTATTTCTTGTTTCAAATTTGCTTCTTGGGGGCAAAACCCCATCCCTTTGACCTCTCCCACATAACCCTAGGCAGTGGGTGCTGTCACTGCCCAAACAAGTCCAGGAATTTCACAGCAGAAGAGCTCACCCAGACTCAGTCTTGCCACTCAGGATTGTTGGTTGTTGGGATTGCTGTAACATTTTAGGGCCTCACCACAGAGCTCTTTTACCTCAGGGATGTCACATGGATTTAATCATCTCCCAGTAGCCACCCCCAGTTCTCCCAACAGCTGCACAGAGAGGAAAATACCCACAGCAATGAGTCAAACAATAACAGTTCAAAACTCCCAAGGTCTAATTCTCTCTGTCATTTGGGGCTTTTTCCCAAGTCTGCTGACTGCCTGGGACTCTTCCCACTCATCTAAAAGGTTAGGGATTGGCTAAATACAATTAGGCAGGGACTGCATCCCCACTAGCTGCTGAAAAGCATCTGTCTGCAAGGTGAACATCTTGCTCACCACATGCCACAGGATTAATTCCTGCTCTGCCTTCTCCTCCCCACCTTTCAGACCACACTGTACAACACAGTCCTCCACCAGAGCATTAAACTTCTTTGGGAGCTTGGGTTAAAAAACCCTCAGGGAAGGCTTTTGGTCATAGCTTGGGGTTTTTGTTTGGTTTTTTTCTGGGTTTTGTTTCTTCTTTTCTAATTAGAAAAGCCCTCCACAGCAATTCATGGTGATGCTCATGAATTGCATGAAAGCAGCCCGAGGAGCCAAGGAGCAAAAAAGATAAAAGTGAGAAGCTGAAACCAGGTGTCAGAACCTTTTGTGAAAAACGAGGTCCAGTTTCCTGGTAGATTTTAACAAGTTTAATAAAAGACAACAAAAGACAATAAAGCAAAAGGTTACAACGGCCCAGTGTTTGGCATTCTGCCAAGAGCACACCTTAACTCAGAGAACACTTCCTTAAATGCATCAACCTGTTGCATATTCATGAACCTTCGTGCATAATTCAAAATCATCCCCCTCAACCTCTAAATCAACATTTTTACTTTTTTTTTTTTTTCCTCTTGTGGCTCCTTCTTGTCCTTGCACTCCCTGCTAGCGGAGATCAAAAAATCTTTTCCTTGGAGTTCTGGTGTTTGTCACCCCGCCTTCATCCAGGAAAGGATAATCCAAGAATGTGAAGAATTTTCTGATTATCTTTTTACCATTTTTTGAGTTAGTTACGTAAAGAAAAGCTTTTCACACCACCATGTTATAGTCCAAGAAATATATTTATCACACTATTATGTCTAAAAGAAACTACATTCATTCAGCAAAGCTCTCCAACATTCTACATATAGCATTCATTTTAATATTTGTGAAAACCCAATAATATAAGATGTACTTGTGGAGCCTGGGATCTTGCACAGGGAGCCACGGGAAGGTCAGCTCTGCCTCTGGCAGTGATGGTAAAGAGCATCCTCAGGAGAGGTGATTTCAGCTCCTGGCTCCAACACGAGCCTCCTGCCTGACTTGGCCAACTCCATCTTCTCCCCCTTTATCCAGATTTTCTTTTGCTGTGCCTTGTCACTGTGTACCACAAGTTTTATGGAGGAAGGGTGAAGTTAGGCATGTGCCTTCTGGGTGTTGTTGGATCATGGCTGTGCTCCCCAACAGCTGCTGGGTACGTGCCCAAGGTCTGCCTTGCTGGGAAACTGCAAATGCCCCTTCAGCCCAATGAGAATTCTGGCTCTGCTTAGGTTTTTGAAAACCAAATAATTATTAAAGACATGCCTCAGCTATTAGCGTATCATTAATCAACATATCACAAATAAAGAAGCTTTTTTTGCTATTTCTCTCCAAGAAACTATTCTAATTGTTCATGACTACTTGGCCTATATTCTTGTAGATGTGCTTTCTTGCTCCGTGTTTTTGAATGCAGCTTTTCCCACTCCCCTCGTGAAAAATCTTGTTTTGTCAGAAAAATAAAATGTGTTTTTACTATAAAGGAATTTATCTACGTTGGGGAAGAGGTTTTTTTCAGGTCTGGAATAAATTTTCTAGTTCGGGGAAAGGGAGCACATCCCAGCACGTGCAGTGCTAACCTGGGGAGCAGGATAAATTTTGTTTTATCCGTCCAGTGGCATTGAGCAGCACTTTAAAGGAGTCTTTCCAAACTCCAAAAAGGGTTGGGGTTGACTCAGATTTTGGCTCTAGAGTGCCCTTCTCTGCCCCCATTTTCATCTGGGAGAAAAACAAGCCCTTTCCAGGAATATTTCTGAGATGATTCCTATTATCATGGTACAGAAAAAAACTGTTCTGAAAGCAAGACCCCATTTGGTGTTGATTAGCCTGAATACTGACAGTGCAATCAAGGCACCGTGGCCACTGTGGTGAGCCAAAGAGTGCACCCAGAGAGCAGCTATCAGCATTCCTTCAATGGAGAAATGGCCATCTTGCTGGGAATTGGGCAGCTTAAGGGGTTAGAGCAGGTGTGAGGATGATTTCAGCTCTGTCTCCTGAGGAAAGGAGGCTCAGGGGAAACCTTCTCACTCTAAAACAGCAGCCAGGCAGGGATTGGCAACTTTTCCCAAGCAACGAGGAACAGGATGAGAGGAAACGTCCTCAAGTTGTGCCAGGAGAGATTTCTGCATGGAAAGGGTTGTCAGGCATAGGAAGGGGCTGCTCAGGGACGTGGTGGAGTCTCCATCCCTGGAGGTGTCCAAGGAAGGCCTGGACATGGCACTCAGTGCTCTGGGCTGGGTGACAAGGTGGGGATCAGGCACAGCTTGGACTCGATGGCCTGGGATGCCTTTTCCAACCTAAATGATTCTGGGATTCTATGATTCTTTAAACTGACGGGAGGCAGGTTAAGGTTATGTATTAGGAAGAAATCCTTCCCTGTGAGGGTGAGGAGGTCCTGACACTGATCCCCTGGATCCCTGGAAGTGTCCAAGGCCAGGCTGGATGGGGCTTGGAGCAACCTGGGATAGTGGAAGGTGTCCCTGTCCACTCCCCATGGCAGGGAGATGGGCTTAAAGGTCCCTCCCAACAAAAACCATTCTGGGATTCATTCTGGGATTCTCTGGCTGCTGTTTTGGTTTCACAGAGTCAACCCGGCCACAGCAGCCTCAGTGGAAGTGGTGGAAGGTGTACTTGGGAGGCCTGTTTCACTCACAGCCACCTGCCTGTTGCATCTCCCCTTAATGTTACTTTTCAGGTGGGATACCTGGAGCCCTGGCTTTCCTTATTCCAGCTGAGAGAAGGAAAGACAAGGATCTTGTAGATAGTGTGACCTTACACCAACAAATCCTTCATTTTCCTTGTTCAAAAGGGACATTGGTCTCACCAGTTTTCAAGCTGTTCCCTTCCCTGGTGTTTCATCCTTCCCTTCCACTCTGGTGTTAAATACCTCATGGTTAATTCCAGCTGTGACCTAAAAAAGAAACAGAACTATATTCACTTTTTATGCATTTCTTTCCCTGCTCCTGAGCCAGCAGGCAAAGCTTCATGAGCTGAGGTTTTCCCCTCCCATCTCCCTCGTGCCCTGAGTTTGCAAGAAGTATTTGCCTCAGGATTTCACACACTCAGCCCACGAGAGGTGCTTGGTCTCTTACACAATGCACATGATGCTGTCCAGGTCTGCACACAGTGATTCCCTAGAAAAGTGGAGCCAGGAATTGCATCTCAGCTGATAGGAAACTGGTTCCCATCACTTTCCCTGTGCATATCCCCAGGGAGAGATTCAGGGCTTCAAAACCAAAGCCAAAAACCAACAGACAGGAAGAAGAGTTTCTATTTAACAAAGAGAATGCTCCTGAGTCAGGCTGGGGTGAAGAGGAGGAGGGAAGGGCCTTTCCAAGACTCTTCCATGGAAAGGGAAGAGCCCTTGGTGTTAACAGAGCAGCCTTTTGTCTCCTTCCCTTTTAATTTCTGCAGGTTCTTTGAATAGAGATGAACATAAGTGACAGACACAGAGCTGAAGGCTCCCTGGCAAGTTTGCTGCCTTCATATTTCTGTTTCCATCATCACAATCCCAAGAAAACCCAGATTTGCACCTTTTCAGCCATGTGTACATTATTAACAGGGCCCTGGAGATGCACAGCTTCTGCCATAAAAGCAAATGCCAGCTAAGAACAGTTAATTCTATTGACTAGGAGGGAGTAACAGCACTTATTTTTGTTAGCTGGCAATATCTAACCCTTTAAATGATATCAGATGGGCATGAGTCAACAACCTTGCCTCCAATAACAGGCCACTCAGACTGCCTAAAAATAGATTTTACTTTCCCTCTTTCACATCAAGCTACAAACAGCCAAGGGATCTGCTGGGGACAGGCACACACTCTCTTCTGGAACAAGGGGGTATTGAAGTAGCTGTAATTGCCTCTAATCCCTTCCTGCCAGAGGGACCACTAAAAATACAGGAGCCACCGAGTTGCTTTAGCTCTCAGTGTGGCTGGGTGGTGCAGGAACAGGGAACAGCAGCCAAATTCTTCCTATCTCCTCTGTCTCAGATAGAAAAAAAAAAAAAAAGCTCCAAAGCAGATGATAATTAAGCCCTTAATATTTCCACTAGATTTCAAACAGGGTTATTTTTAAGACACTGATGTGCAGAGCCAGGAGCTGCACAGACTGGGAGAGGCAGCTCTGTGCTGCTGCTGACACAGCTGGAGCCTTCACATCTAGGACAGGGAGGACTTCAACTAAAGCTGGCTTTTCACTCAGATTTCAGTGGGTTTTTACCAAGCCAGGTGATATTGAGGGTATTGCCTTTTTTTAATCAGCTACAGGGAGAAGCTGTATCAACTCCTTTTGAGAGGATGCAACATTTTCTAGTTGGGACTCAAGAAGAGGCCCCTGGAGGAGTGGAACTGAAGTACAGCCTTTCTCCAAGAAATGGGCTCAGTCACACACGGCCTGTGGCCCTCTGGGCTAGCCAGCAGCAAGAAAATGAAACAGCATTCCTCAAACCAATGGAGAACACAACGCTAGGCAGAGGAATCAACCTGGGCTAAATTCTGGTAGGAATTCTGATCCAGTAACCACTTGGAGCCTTCTTGTTCAACCAACCACATCATTATATGCCCTCCTCCCTCAGCACCATCTTGATCTAGTTGTATTACAAATATTTCAGACAGGAGTCACTCACTTCCTTTATCTGCAAGTCTCAGTGTCACATCATGTCATTGATCAGAGGTTGAAATTTCCAATCTCTTGATTAAAACAAATAAGAGAAATATAACTTACCAGTTCTTTTTCTTTTTTTTTTTTTTAATTCTTGTAACTCTACAACCTAATGACATGGATTTCAGAGCCAGGAGAAGAAGGAATTCTTGCTTGTGAGGGTGGTGATGCCTGGCACAGGGTGCCAAGAGAAGCTGTGGCTGCCCCTGGATCCCTGGAAGTGTCCAAGGCCAGGTTGGACAGAGCTTGGAGCAACCTGGGATAGGCCCCCTGTTCACGGCAGGGGTGGAATAAGCTGGGCTTTAAGGTCCCTTTCAGTATGATTGTTACTGTGATAACTTTGGGAGAAACCCAAATATATTCAGATTTATCTGAAAATACCATCTTTTGTTCAGATTCCATCTTTTGCACAATAAACAGAGGCAGGAGCATTCAGGCAAGTTCACAAGAGGTCTCTGCTCCCACACTGTGTGCTGAGATGAACAGGGAAAGTTTTATGTTCCTCTGGGGTCTCCTGTTGGGATTTCCCTTCTTGTCCTTAAAGAGAATTCAGGGTGGTAAGTGCTTAAAACCTGGCTTGATCTGTGGGATTCTTCAAAAATCCTATTGTTACTCTGACCCTGGTCCCACGGAAATTGAGATTGCTCACCACTTATTTCCACAGAAGGGCAGTTCACAGGGTGAGTGCTTTGGAAAAAATCCCATCCTCCATCTCACAGCTGCTAAAGGGTTATGAAAATCTTGCTCCCTGTTGCAAGCCATAAGAGATGAGATATGGGAAGAAACGTCCCACAGAACCTGGGAATGATGATAAGGAAGAGACTGAGATGATGGAATTAGGTCAGAAACTTCCTATTCCCTCATCATATGTCGAGGGTAATGAAGGTCCAGCTTGTACCACAAGGCTGCTGGGGGGTAAACTGTACAGGATTTTGCAACATGCCACAAAAAAATTCCCAGTAAGCGAGCCAAGAAGAATCAATCCTTATGTACTGGGGCAGGGCGACCAACTCAGCTGGGAGTTGAGTCATCCCAACCTGTTGAATGGGACCCAAAGGTTTCCCCACTTGGGTTGACAGAAATAGACACATTTTTAACAACTCTCTGATTGCAAGGCCAATTTCCTTCTGTTGTAGCTCAGGGCAGGGTCATGTTGCACCACAGAATATAAATTAGTCACAGTTCAGAGCCTGTGAGATAAAGTCGTATTTCTCTGCATTTGTGCTTTTCTCCTTTCTACAGGGTGAGTTTGAAAAACAGCTAAGATTTTCTGCATTAGTCAGAGATTTCAGCAAGACCTGCACAATGAGGAATGGGAGATCCAAGCTCTTAGAGAGTTGTGCACACATTGTTTGTGCATCCAGAGTAGACCTGGGCCTTCCATGCAAGAAGCAGATTAATTTCTGCCTGATTGTGTTGGGAAATCTCAGTAGCCACCTCAAGAAGGGGAAGCCCCACATTGCTGGAGATCATCTCCTCCAGCATGAAGGAATTACAGAGCCAAGAAATCCTCAGGGAGGTGTGGCTGGCATGGAATTCCTCACTGCTGTCAGCCCTTAGAGCTGAAATGAATGAGCAGAATCCACTCATGCAATGCTCTAATGTAACACCATGCATGGAATTACAGTGCTCTGAGACACTGTGCTCCCATCTGGAGCAGATCATCCCACCCTGCTGTAGGATACTGTCTCTCCTGGGATTCAGCACTGTCCCCCACGCTCAGCCCTGACACTGGGCACTGTTATAAATTTAGAGACTAAGGCCAGAATGAAGCATCACATTACCACAATCAAATAACAGTTTTAATCCAGTTACCCTCCATTATGCCTCTCTTTCCATCTTGTTCTATAGTCCACAAGGGGTGAGGAATAACACACGGTGAAACATAAAATGCAATGCACAAAGTCAAACACAATACAAAGATCAGTAGAAATGTCATCTTGTTTCATTCCCAAGCTAAAACCTTTTTCCTCCCAGGTTATTATAAACACACAATTACTTTGGAAGCTGTGGACTGACTCTGAGATCCACAGATCACCACAGACCTACATAAAGGAAAGGAAACAAATACCTAAGGAGGAATACTGAAGGAAGGAGCAGGAGACAGCCCCAGGAGGAGGGAGACAGTCAGACCTCTTGGGGCACAAGAGAGCTGGAGGCTTTTTGACAAGGAAGCTGTTTGTTTCTTTTAAGGTCATGGCAACAGAACATCACGGACATGGCGTGCAAGTAAATCACAAGTTTTCCAAGGAATACCTCTCTCCAAATAATATAACCAATTTCTCATCTTAATGGAAAAAAAGCCCCAAACCTAACCTGCCAGGCCAGAGAGACAACACTATCTTCCTCCAGCACATCTTCTGTTTTTCCAGAAGCATTTCCCAGCTGTAATTCCAAGGCAGTGAGTCCTCTCATCCTGGGAGTTGAGCAGCCTGTTCTTGAGAAATACAAATCACAGATAAGGAGGTGACCCAGACAGTTCTCAGAAACAGTAAAAACCCAATGTTTGTTTGCTTTCAGCTGCTTCCTCCAGGCCATCCCCATGGCTGCTGCTGGGAACTGATCCAACAGTTTCCAGCTCAAAGAAAAGCCATTATCCCACAGCGGCTTTGCAGGTAGCTCTGGTCACCCTTCCTTGTCACAGTCCAGGAATCCCCCAAGCCTGGACTAAGATAAAGGAATTTCAAGGAAATGGGAATGCTCCTGCAGTCCTTGGCTGGCTTCAGTTTCACAGAATCCCAGGATAGGTCAGGTTGGAAGGGACCACAGTGAAGGTCTGGTCCAGCAGGGTCATCCCGGAGCAGAGGGCACAGGATTGTGTCCAGATGGCTCTGGAATATCCTCAGTGAAGTGTCACCAGCTATCCTGGTGGGCTAGTGGCAGAAAATATCCTGACATGAAGTGCAACACTCCTGAATACCTGTTTGCATTGCTCCTTTATTTTCCAGCTCCTTTTGGCCTGGCAAACAGGAAGAAATGTTATAGCTATCCCATTCTCTTTTTATGGAATCATTTCAAATGACTTCTGGAATCACTTCAGGGACTTCTTTTGGAAATAGTTACAGAGGGGTAAATCCCAATACCGATAAAATTGCTATGTGGGAAAAGTGAAAACCACATTAATCAGCAGTTTAATTAAATTGTGGGGAGGCAAATGATAATTAGGAGAGGTCATTGATACACCACATGCTGAATTATTCTGTCTGCTGAGGTTTAGCAGCAATAGGGATGCACAGAAAAACAACTGGGGGGAAGCTTTTCATCCTGGGACAACACATTCCAAGTGGTGCCTCAGGTTTTATCCTTTATTATTTTTTTATTCCCACTTGGTAATTAAGGACCTCATGCCAAATAAGCCAAGCACAAGTGATGCACTGCAGTGTCAGGCCCACGCACACAGTTTGCTTTCTTTGCTCCCTGATACTTCAGAAAGCAAAAGGTCATGAAACAATGTGGATTCAATGGTGCACATTGAACAGGTACTGCTCTGCAGCTGATTTACTTGATGCTCATGATGGTTGTGAATCAATTGCATATTGAAAAGTGCATGCAATTAACATTCACAATTAGGGATATTTCCCTGAAGCAATGCAATTTTAATTGATGTTCCACAGTATCAGTTTGATTCCTGCCTCATCTTCCACCCAAATCCAATAAACACATAGTTCAGCAGAGTAAGCCTGCATAATTACATTAAAATGAGACTTCAATAAGTTTTTGGTTGAGGATTTCCATACTGTATCCAGATGCTTCCATGACTTCATAAATATGACAGAACTCATCCAGCCTCATCTCTGAATGTCTCGTTCTTAACAACATTAAAACGATGGAGAAAGCAGCATCTGAATTAAAATCTCGATCGTTCTTGTAATATTAATGGAGGCTTTTTTTTTTTTTTTTGGGTTTCAAAACTTCACGTTTTGAAAAAGAACCAGAATAGAAATTTCGTGGTAGATAAAGAAGTATTTTTCTAACTAAACATTCTGATAAGAATGTGTTCAGAAAAGCCAAACATATGCAGAAGGACTTTTTAATGGCTGCAGTGACTTTGGGAAACTAACTCCTTTGAGCCAATTTGTTTATTAACATAACAATTTGTCACAAACTCTCCATCCTCGCTCTTGTACTCTAATTATTTGGGAAAAAACCCTGTGTGCCATCTGTGGTAATGTGTCTTTTTCTGTTTAGGTACAAGAGAAAAAAAAATTAAATTTGAGCATGCAAAAATAATTGCTGCAAGCATAAACATTGCAAGAGCAGGTTGAAATGATTGATTACATTGCTATCCAAGATGAAATATTTTATAAGGGGAAGCCAGGATTCATTCATAAAGAACTTCAGAAGCCCAAGATAAAAACTAAACTGGGTGGGGAAGAGCTCGATTAGGAACTCATTTTTTAAAATCTTATCTCAAGCTGACTCCAGTCAGATGCTCAGATTTGTGTCTGACCTTACTGTGGCTGAGGCCAAAATCTCCTCTCTGTCCTGAGGCATGAGCTTAAAAAGTTTGTTAAACTCAAAGGAAAGCTTCCCAATGGGAAACTTCCAGAGCATCTACAGTTCACTGTGGCCATGTGAAAGCTCAGCATTAACTTTAGACAACACCTACTGACTGCAGGCACCTTTTTTGTTTTTTGTTTTTTTTTTTTTTGGCTCAGGACACAGCCTTATTATTTATCCCACTCCTTGCCAGCATTCCCACTGTTTCTCAAAGCCAGGAAGGAGGCTGTTGTCTCTTCCTGCAGTGGTACCCAGAGGGTTGTTTGGGACAACAGTGATTAACCAGTTTAATCCAGTGATTAACCCACTGGAATTCGGTGGGAGACTCTATTTAATTACATCCTTCCTTCCAGAGAAACAGGGAGCCAGAGAATCCTTGAGGAGCACAGATGCATTGCAAACTCTTTCCACAACTGCAGAAGTGTAGTCAGCAAGGAGACAGACAAATCAGCCCAAAAAAAAGAAGAAAAAAAAAAGAATAGATGGGAGCAGGAGGGCTGCAGTGCCCTAAACACCAGAAAAAAGTTTTGCTAAAAAACATAAGGGTCTCGTAGCAAACTCAACCAATGCCAAAACTCTGCTTTCCTCCAGCACTGTCACCAGCTTCTCCCAACTCATTCCAAGCTAAACAGATGAGGATTATTGTCTGTTCACAATCCAGCTTTCCCACATGAAAGAGGAGGATAACTGTCTATTATCTATAACTTTTTGCTCCACAGGAGCCATAGAAGACGCAGATATTAATGCTCAGAAATGCCCAGAATGATCCTCAGCCAAGAGTTACCACAGTCAAAGGAGGATTTTCAGAGAATTTTATGCTTTTATTCTTGAAACACAGGGAAAAGAAATTGGCATCAGCCATCAGCAGAGACACATCAATGTAGCTTGATGTCACAGAAGAGACATCTCCCAGCGATGAAACTTGTTCAATATCCTAAACAAATTTGAAATGTGTTTAGTCTGGAAGTGATTATCTTGCTTATTCTGATGCATTTGATGTTTAACCACACACTGCAAATATGGCTAGGTGGCCCAGGTCCAATGCAGGAAAAGAGATCACAGCACCCCAACCAAAAGTGCATTACACAGGACTGAATAATACAGATACACCATCATTAAAATCCCGCAATTTAAACTGTGGAGCCTATGTTTTATGGTGGCTGGGACAAGCATGATACATGTTCTCCATTTTCAAATCCTGCAGTGTTTCAGGATACATGGGAAAGCAGATGTTTTTAATAGCCTGAACCCTAAATAAGCTCATTCTTCCAAACCAACTGCACGCAGCCAGGAGCGAGACGCTGCTGCACGAATGGGCAAAGTGTTCCATCTGCCTTGGCTCTAGTGGAAAATTCTGTGTATTCTGTATAGTGCATTCTGACCAAAACTGAGATTTTCACATTAAGACTGATTTTTTTTTTCCCCAAATTGTTCACAGCCAGGTTGGACAGAGCTTGGAGCAACCTAGTCCAGTGGAAGGTGTCCCTGCCCATGGCAAGGGGTGGATTGAGGTGAGATTAAAAGCTCCTTCCAACCCAGATGTTTCTGGGATCCTGTGATATTGCTGTCCTTACATAGAATAAATCCATGGATAATTCCTGGCCATGCACCCACTGTGGTGTCACCTGAGGTGGCAGAACCAGGCCCAGATGCCAGGGGAACCCACAGACCTTCTGTGGTACACTGACTTCAATATGTTTGAGGGACATCAGTCACACCAGCAGCTGGGAGAGGCTCGAGAACACCTCAGAGAGGGAGTTCAGAAAGCAGGGGGAGAGAGCAAATCTTGAAGCAAGAATCTAGAAGCCTCCAAGGAAAGAAACCAAAGGGGACTATCAGGAAGGCCCACAGGAAGCACCATTTTACAGGCAGGACCACAAGCACCCAACACAGGAAAGCTTTCAAAAGAAATGTGGCATGTGTTTGACCAGAAACTCTAAAGCACAGCTGCCCTGATCATCTTACACTGTTAAGAAACAAGGGAGTGATGTTTGTTGGGAATATTGCTCCTTCCCACTGCCCAGAGGATGCAGGCTGCATGGATGATCCTCCCCTCCTACTCAGCCCACAAAGCAGCAATCTCTCCAGTTAAGCCAACAGTCTTCCCAAGAGCAAGCAACCAGGAAACCATTCCCAACTGTTACTCACAGATCTCTCTGTCCACATCTTGCTCTGTGTCAAACCCCTGGTACCCTGTTCCCTGTGCCAGTCAAAAGCCTGAAGAGGTGATGATCATAATGTCATGGACTGCTTTGGGTTGGGAGGGACCTTAAAACACACCTTGTTCTGCTGCAGTTGCATCCAAATCCTTTAACACTGCTTAGAAGCAGCCTTCAGGCTGCCTCCCAGCTGCTCCAGGTGCAGGAGTTATATCAGCATGGAAAGTTCTGCTGTAATAAATCATGCAAGACTCCATTTTCTTCATACAGGAAAAGCCAATTCTTTATTCACAATTATAATAATATAATAATAGTGATAAATATAATAATATAACAATAATGCATTTTTATACAGCTTTTACAGACTTAATGCCTGACACCAATTGGCTATTAGTTTTCCTACTACTTCATTTATTGGTCAGAAGGTGATTTTGTGTGCACGTGCTAAGGTTCAAGTGTTTACTTTTCAAGTAAAGTAAGTAAGGTTCAAGTGTTTTTCTTTTGGGGGTTCTCATGGGACAAACCTTATTGTTTACATAAGTGCACTTGTTTTGTATCTGGGAATAGGTTGTTGTGTTAACAAACCTTTCATAGCAAGATTACTTTCACATGGGAACCTGCAAACTGCACTTAGAAGAAGTGACAGGCGAGCTTTAATTTTGCAGAGCAGGCCTGATTTTAGGAGGCCTTTCTTTAATAATTTCTTTACCTGTCTGTGATAGTTCTGCTTCTGAGGTGAGGCAGCTCCTGAACAGGACTTGATGGAGATCCCA